CACTTCTACAGCAGAGCTAAAAGTAATTCTGCGTAGCTGGTTTACTGGTTGTTTAATTTGATACAATATTTGAAGGATTTTGTGGACATGATGACTGCTTCTGCCCACACGAACACTGAAGAAGACAGCCCAAAGTAAAACCTGTCGATATTAGCCTGACATTATTAACATACCATGGCTACAGGGAGATACAATGCAAAAAAAGTAAGCAAATTTTTATGGTAGTTGAATTTAATAGTATACGACACTAGAAACAATAAATAGTCCACTTCTACAGCAAGTGCAAGATAGGTACTAAAAGATGGTGGTTTTCTTTCTTCTCACAAGTGTTGGGATAGTTCTGTAATACCTACATAAGTCATATGCTATACTTTGGAAAAATGTTTCCATTAACGAACTTATTTTCATTGCAGTAAGAACACTGCGTTTAAGCCTGCCTATGAATATTATAGTAAAGTATAACACATTTCACATAATTGAAACATGCTAATTAAATATTTTAAATACATAAATACACCTAATCACAATATTCTCTTAACATTACAGGCTACCATCTTTTGAATGCTTATGAAAAATATTTGAATGTTTTTTTTATCGAGAAAATAAAACATTAATAACTTATAGGATATTTCTTTGTTTCAAGTAAATCATGGTGTTTATACTACTCTGCTAACATAAAACACAATCAAACATGACTCATCTGCGCTCTTTTTTCCTTGATAACAGATTTCTTAAAAACATCACCATGATATCAGTAATAAAATGTGCTGAAATAAGCTTGTAACTATGAAGCTCTTAGTTACAGTTACATCAGTTACATCAATGCACAGCCGAGTATTGCAGGATTGATTTTTTTTTTTTAGCCCAAAGAAGCGTTAGCTCAGAAGGGCTTATAGATTTCGTTTTGGCATTTTGCGTCGATTCACTGTAAATGTCAGTATCACTTTTCAATGTGTTGCCGAAAAATATTATCGCCCTGTGTTATATTTAAAGAAATTAATTAATGAAGAATCTGCACAAATGTATGTATGTTTCTCGCATTGTGATAAACAACGGTACCTAGATCCATCAAAGTTTCAATAATGTAATCCTTCTCCGAATATGGGCATCTGGAAGCCCTAATTTGGAATTTATTTTATTATGGATTTCACATTTTGCAACACTTTAACGAATTTTCGATTAAAAAACTCAACAATTTCAAAACGAGCAATGGCAATTACTGTACGGAAAACATTTTTTTTCTCCGGCACGCGAGACTGTGTATCGGAAATTCTAAAGATATGATCATTTTAAAATTATTTTGTGATATTGCTGTTGAATTTAATTTTATAGTTTAAGTGCGAAGAAAATGATATTTAATAAATAAAAGTAACACAGAAAACGTTTAAAAAACATCTCTTTGGGCATAATGTAAATTCTGAAAGCTTTCTGACTTTTCCATTTATTTTTTCATTCCTCTCCTCTTCTGGAAAGAGAAAAATAAATATTCACATAAATTTTGAGGTAAAAAAGAAGGTTTTAGAACATTCTTTTTAAAACTATATTTCGGTTTCAATCAAAATGATAATTTTTAACTGAAAATTGTAGAAACTCGGATTTTTCTAGTCTTATTATCTGCTTGAAAACGATGCTGAATTATTTTATAAAATTTGTTTCCAACGAAAATAAATTAAAATTAAATTTTTTGTAGATCTTTTATTAAAATATAGAAATGAAAGTTCATTAATGAGAATTTGTTCAATTTTAGTGCCATCTAATTTCGCATCAGTTAATTTTAAAATTCGTATCTAATTTTGCGTAATTTAATGTGAAATAAATATAATATATTTGTATATTTATTTCAAAGAAGAACATTCTCTCAGTATGAATGGGTTTTGTTTATCGATTAACGATCACATCTGTGTCTTTTTTCAATGAGAACGAATATTGATGAATGCCACAAATGCATTGAAAAAGATAGCCTCTGATGAAATATATGAAGGATTTCCAAGTGTAAAGATCAGGAAGAGAAATGTATGTAATTACATGCTTCTCTTCGAAGTTTTAACGTTTTGCGTCAAATTTTCGAGAAGTCTCCAGTATAAAAATAAAATTAAGCAGGTGATTGTTTACAGCAGAGTTTGAAATCCTGTAGATTAAAAAAGTAAACCTACTATCGAAAAATTTTAAAAACGCTTTTTTTAATTGTAGAGTTACTATAAAAACTTAACAGAGAAATGAATTACTTGAAGTAAAGAAATTTCTTGCAAGACTCAATTCTGCCTTCAAAATACAAAAGCATATTTAAGTTGCGTAAAACTGAAAAAAATGTAAATTCTAATTACAACAACTCATTTCTATCGCAACTAATTAAACTGTTGGTAACGGTGCTAATTATTACCAGTACTTCTTTAAACAATTTCTGGTATAATTTACTTTCAGACTTAGACAAAATGTTTAATAGTAGTGCAGTCTCAGCTCAGTGCATTCTACTACATTATAAATTTTTTCATAGCTTTTTTAATATTGCTAACACTTTAATCAGTCCATAAAGAGAGATGCAGAAAACTTAATGAAAGTACTTCTGTCGTATGAGACATACTGATTGCTTCGTTAATAGACGTTAAAAACTTTTGATGGTTTAAAAACTTTGGTACCTTAACATTTATTTTTCTATACCTCTCTCTCTCTCTTTTTTCCCTTTGTTCGAATTGTCTTATCTTTGATTACAGTCGAAAGAATCTTGCTAACCAATCCATGTTTTTCAATTGACGACTATTTGAAAAAATAATTTATTCGTTACAATTTTGATTAATCTATTTTTTAAATAATTAATAAATAAAAGTAACTTTCAGAACATATTTTCTTTCGTATTTCATTTCGATGTCTTTCCCTGTAATAAGTATGACTATAATCAGCGTATTTCTTGCAAATAGATTGCATTTTCTCAGAAACATATTTATTACATGTAACACAAATATTGTTCTATGGATTTGGCACATTCTCCGCATGTTTAAATTTTGTTTGGAATCTTATATATCCTACTCAAATTAATGTACTCATACTTTCTTAAAGTTTGGTTCTTGGGAATAAATAACAGCAAACATTTCAAAGTGTTCTTTATTCATGTTAACTGTTTTGTAATACCTGAGTACGCCTTCCACATTTAGCATTAATTAATTCTGCTATAAAACACGTTTTTAGGTACAGATAATAATTTGGTGTGAAAATAATTTAAACTATTTTTATAATATTAGAAACGTAATCATAGTTCAAAAGGTAATTCGAAATTAAACTAGTAAAATTACGTTTCAGTACGTAAAAGATATTTTGTTCAGTAACAGGTGCTTATCGCAAGTGTGTGATAGGAGTGAACCCTCATGAAAAAAGCATTATTGAAGATTATTGGAAATTGACCAAGCTACATTGCTAGTAAAGTTCTTCTGGAAAACTGATAGAGTACAGCTGGTACTTTGAATAAGACACCAAATGTTTTTATACAGAGCAAAAACTAGGATATTTTTTGATAAGTTTAATATTAATGCAAGCGAGTATTATCTAATACCTTTCCTCGGTATAGATAAAGTCTAGATTGTGATGAATTACAAAATTATTAAATAAGTTTATAAAGTATTTCTCCCGTCTTCATAGCATGCCTTCGTAGTGTAGTGGTCTGCACGCTGGGTGCTTATTCCCGAGGTCCGTGGCTCGATTCCCGGCGAAGGAGTTGCTCATTTTTCATGACTCCCACTTCAAAAAAAAAAAAAAAAAAAAAAAGTCTTAATGTCTCTACAGTGGCGCCCGAACTAAAAAAGGTGGTGGATGACGATTCTCCGCCACTAGGATTTGGCGATTGAGTCCCCTAATCCCTAGTCGCCCTTTAAAAGGGAGAGTATATAAGGTATTTCTCCCGTCTTCTTAGCATGCCTTCATAGTGTAGTGGTCTGCACGCTGGGAGCGTATTCCAGAGGTCCGTGGTTCGATTCACGGCGAAGGTGTTGCTCATTTTTCACGACTTCTGCTTCCAAAAAATACCTAATGTCTCTACAAGTTATTCGATCGATTGTAGTGTGTTTAGATATTCTAGATTACATATCTTAGAAATTACGGTCATGAATGCAAAATGAATTTTCATCTATAGTAATTTCCCAGAGATCGTTATTTAATGTCGTTCAATTTTCTGTACAATACTATTCAGTTAGGGGTCAATTAGTGGTTTCTGTACAATACTAGCCAATTAGTAGTCGGGGCATCTCCCACCCTAAATAAGAAGAGGGTAATTTTGAAGGCAAACTCAATAGTGAGTAACATACAAGTAGCTATTAGGTGACAATGCATTATTAGCGCCGGTAGTTCGATAGTAGAACAACTTCATGTGCAGGAATGAGGTATAGGTTCGAGTCCTAGTTAAAACCAAAATCTTCATAACATTTTGGGTCGAGGGGAGGGGTAAACTCGCTTCAACAGAACAGGCCGGATTTATTCCTTGTTCCTTTATATCATGGGAATCTTGAAAAGTCTCTGTTTTGCGGTGAGGAGGGGAGGCATTTTGGAATTCGCATCGGTTGTATGTCTACCAACTTAGTTGCAGTAGTTACCTTCTTTCGTGAGTTATACGTAAGCTTTTCATTACCCCTGTAATGGGTTATTAATATGGAACCTATTAGTGGGCTCTTTCCAAAATCTATTCAGCAACGGCCACATTTCCCTTGGGAAATGCTGCCACGATATGCATCACAATCGAGAAATCGATAAGAAAGAACTTGGCTTATTCCCAAAGTTCGAATCAAGTCTGAATCATCATTCGTTCGAAGCATTTAGATAAAAGAGGGAAAAAAAAAAAAAAAAAAAAAAAAACATTCCGAGGTATTTCTGGGCATTTCTCCATGTGTTCTGTTAAAAATTTTAAAGTGTTCAAAGAAAACTGGCACAACACTTACCTTCTCATTTTATTTAGTCGGAGCTTCCGTAATTTTTAATTTCGAAGCTGTGGAAAATATTCAACGGCCTGCCAGCTGTATCAACGGCGTCGAGGTATGACGTTGGGCGTAAAAGTAGATTCCCGTTTGTGTTTGTGTGTGTCCCATGAGCTCTTACTAGAAATAGCTCAAGACGATGCTTTTCAGTCACGAAGTACCTCTGTTGAAACTGGTTACGTACTTACTCGCTATGCCACCCGCATCATGCCCAGTTCTTCGCTGCTGACAGATTTTCCCGCCGATCCCAGAAAGGTAAGAATTCATTGTTACACTCTTCTTGTTTTATTTTGATTTCGCAAAAACAGGATCTTTGCTAAAACACTACTAGAATACAGCCGACTGTTTTTGCATGAGAATGGAAAGAAAATGTGTGGATAAAATTGGCGCTGCATATTATATGGTTAACTAATTGAACAAAATTTGGAACAGCATAACTCATTAATTATATTGCTTTAATTCCAAAAACTGCACGGTATCATAAATAAGTGTGATCACTCTAGAAAGTCTTCTGTGTACAGTTTTCCAGAGTGAGTAGATTTTACTCTAAATTAGTAATTATTCTTTTCTATAAAGCATCACTTAAAATAGGTAATTAATTAGTTAAATAAAACGACGTTATTATGACATTAATTTCAACTAAAAACGTATCAATGCATTTCGAGAGATAAACTTCTTCCATTATTTAATTTCTTATTAAATTATTTTAGAATAAATTTTGAAAAATAATATAATTGGAATTCAAAAGACAAGATCATTAAGTTTGTGTTGAAATATGTTGAACTTTCACTAGGATATTTGCTCCAGACAAATGCAAAATTTTATCAAATATATTTTAGATGTTGAAGTATAAGTCAGCATTTGCTTTTTCTTCTTTCTTGTAGAATTTATTTTTGCAGTTCCTCTTTACCAAATCGTCTGCGCCTATTTGAGTATAACTCAAGAAATTTTACGGCGTGTGTTTTATTACTCTAGTTATGAATATTTTCTCTAGGACTATTATAAGAATGAAGATGCATCTTCTCGCAGGGTTTACGAATATGCACAATTTGCAAATCAATTCTGAGGACTAGTTTTATTACCTATTGGTCTTATACATCAGTTTTAAGACTAATATCCTTTCTGTTCATATAATCAAATTAATATTTTTCTATAATATCCGGAAAATCTTGTTTTAAATCTTCGAGCAGTACACACAGTGTCTCAAAAAAGTGATGGGACACTTGTGCTTTACAAAAGGAAACTGCAATAAAATAAATTTAAGAAACATGTAAAATTTTTTGTGGGTGTGTTTCATACTTAAATTTAGTAACAATTATTACATAACATACATTTTCTCAAAATATTAAAATATTAATTTAATAAAAATACAATTGTTTAGAACGGAGCAGAAAATGGCTCATTAAGTGATGGGACACTACGTACTATGCAACAAAAATCGTCTGAAGTAAGCAATAAAAATATCTTTTGGGGTATTTATTTTTACTCAAAAGCAATTCCCAATAATTTATAAAATCGTCTGCAGTATTTCTCTCCAGTTTGTTTTAGAATTTTTGTGTTTTGTAGCTCTGTGCAGCCATGAATACTAAACGAAAAGAACTTGCCTGGAATTCGAAAATTAGTTATTAATTTGCATATTGAACGTGGAAAATCTATTAGAGAAACTACTGAAACAGTTAACTTGAGTCATTCAACAGTTTTCAATATCATTAAACGATATAAAAAGAATCATATGATTCAGGATAAAAGAAGACCTGACCGACCATCAAAGCTATCCAATGGAATAAAGCGAATTATCGTTCGAAATATTTAAAAAAAATCCAAGAATGAGTGCTCCTAATGTTGCTGCTGATTTACAAGCATTATATGGAGTAATTGTTAATTCTGAGACTATTAGAATAGTAATTCGATCTACTGGATATCACGGTAGAGCAGCCAGGAAAAAATTCTTCGTAAGTGAAAAGAATAGAAAACTCAGACTGGCTTTCGCAAAATCCAACATAAATAAGAATTCTGATTACTGGAATGAAGTTATATTTGCTGATGAGATTAAATTTAATATATTTGGTTCTGACGGTAGAATCTTGGTGTGGAGAAAACCCAGGGAAGAATTTCGCAAACAGAACTTGGTGTCAACAGTAAAACATGGTGGAGGAGTTATGGTATGGGGGTGTATGTCGTCCGCTGGAGTTGGTAATCTTGTTTTATTGACAGTATAATGGATCAGTACAAGTATATTGACATTTTAAATCAAAATTTGAAATCTTCAGCACGAAAATTGAACCTTCATAAACGATTTTAAAATTCTACCAGGACAATGACCCCAAGCACAGTGCTTTGAACGTTAGACTCTGGCTGCTGTATAACTGTCCTGAAAGAATAAAAACACCCCCACAATCTCCAAAATTAAATCCCATAGAGAATATTTGGCAAGAATTGGAATCAAGAATTCACAAACACACCATTTCTTCAAAACAACAATTAAAATCGGTGCTTCAAGAAGAATGGGGTAAAATCACTCCAGAAATCACAAAAAAATTAGTCGAATCCATCCCAAGAAGATTAAATCATGTTTTAAAAGTAAAAGGAAATCCAAGAAAATATTAAAATCTTTTAAAAAGTAAAATTTTTGGATAAATATTTGATGGAAAAGTAAGTGTCCCATCACTTATGTGAGCCATTTTCTGCTCCGTTCTAAACAATTGTATTTTTATTAAATTAATATTTTAATATTTTGAGAAAATGTATGTTATGTAATAATTGTTACTAATTTAAGTATGAAACACACCCACAAAAAATTTTACATGTTTTTAAAATTTATTTTATTGCAGTTTCCTTTTGTAAAGCACAAGTGTCCCATCACTTTTTTGAGACACTGTAGAGTACGACTAAGTATGTGCAATAAATACAAGAAGTACGTTGATGGTATTATGGCATGGAAGAAATACGCAATATTTTAAAAATCGTCTCTTCAAATTCTTCCATAAAGTTTTCATTCTACGCTTTTTATAGCTTTCTGCATGTACAAAGGAAATGCGATTAGAAGTTCTTAAATCAACTTTTAATTTGCGATTATAAGAAAATAAAGCAATTAGGAAAGTTGGGGAAACTTTTAAACTTTAGGAGCAAGAAAAACGAAAACTAAACTGCGCCGTCGACAGAATTCGAACCACGGATCATTACGTTGCCAGGTAGAGGAAAATGCGGGATGTTCCTGACAAAGTGCCTAAAAAGGTTAACAAAATAATCTGTTAATTCAGAAACTTTTAAAATAGCAATCCAATCTACTAGATATGACGGGTCAGCAGCAAAGACAAAAATTACATTTGTAAGAGGACAGAAAACCTCAGCATTTTCCTCAAAATTCCATGAGAAATAAGAATTTTTAATATTTGATAATGTAATATTCTCTGAAGAACGTGTATTTGATATTGGTGAATAGTCCATTTAGAGTGTATCTAAAGATGAATTTCTAAAATAGAGCTAAGCTAGCAGTAGCATATTTCGCAGAAAGTGTTGTGATATGCGAGTGTATCCAGCCCATTAAAACGGATGGCGTAATGGATCAATTCTGATATTTTAGAGCCATCTGTACAAAAATATAACCTGTAAGATAATTTCGTATTTTATTAAACCGATGAATGAAAGCAAACCGCTAGAATGTGCGATGTCAACTGCCTTTTAATTGGCTTAAAATAATAAAATCATATTCTCAGTGACCCTATTTAAACTCTATTGAACATATCTGGCAAGATATAGAATATGAAATTCAAAAACGAAACAGTTCTTTAAAGCAATAGTTTAAATTATCAACTAAAGATAAGTAGGCAGCAAAATTAAGCCCAAAAGAACAAAACATTTCTAGTTGCATGCCAAAAAAGCTAAATTTTATGATAAAAGATAATAGAAATTCCAGAAAAAATATTAAAAATATTTTAACGCAAATTTTGGTTTTTACTTGATACGAAACTGAAAGATAAATTTTGTGAGCATATTTGTGCTGTCCGCATTGATTTCTGCGTAGCTATATAGAAATTTTGTTTTCATGTCCGACAGCCGACTGCCGGAATCCAAATGTTTAACACTCCTAATATGTGGCAAATACATAATCTTTTCTGAAAAGTCTTTATTCGGGAATACTTTTTCAAAAAATCTGATGTGTACACCACATGACTTCCTTGTACGGAATATTAAATTATACGCATTTTTCTTGCATTTCATTTAAACTTATTGGATTGAATTAAATCTACTTCGCCGACAGCGCATAAACCACAATAGAATAAATGCATTCTTTAAAATTCACTCTAGTATTTGTTTACCATAGCGACACTCCGGCGCTAGATTCACTTAACAGTATTAATAATTATTAACAGTTAACTTATATAATAATTATATAACGGAAACTAAGTCAACTGTTATAATCCAATAATTATATAACAGTTAACTTATATATTTTCGTTCATATTATAACTCATAATGCACAAAATTTATATCATTTAAAGAATAGAACTATCTAACGTTGCCACATATTCTATTCAAATACTATAATAAGCTAGAATGATGTATAAAAGAAATTAAGCAAACAAAACAAAAAAGAAACAGTTTTTTCACAACGATTGAGTATTTCTCATTCAATTAATTCAGTTCTCACTTCGCGAAAAGGCAAAAATACATAAAAACTCAAAATATCTATATTAAAATTACGAAGTAAATCTTAAACGCTTATTTCCTCGAAAAAATTCCAGAAAGGATTAAGCATAATTTAATTGGCAATAATAAATGAAGGCGTTATCCTTTGTTGTTGCGAAGCTAAGTTTCTCTAGATTGGCAACAAATCCACTAGTCTGTTTTCAATGTAAACAAATCAATGGCCGCCATCTAAAATAGGCTTAGCGACACTTAAACAACTTTAAAATTGTTGATAATTCTAAAAATATTGCATACAGATTTACTAAAGGCATAAAACCTTAACCGGGAAGATAAAACAACATAATTCAATCATTTTAAAGCAAAAAATGTACAATTTACAAACATATAAGTGTAAGAAACTGAGATCACTGAGCCGGGTAACAGATTGGATATATATAAAATATATTTATATACGTTTTGGTGCGGCCGATTGCAACCAAAATACGAGGTGCACATCTACATGTTATAGCAGTAATATATACAGATTTCAACGTTCGAGGTACTCGTTTTTGAGTTATGCGAGATACGTACGTACGTTCGTACAGACGCCACGAAAATTCTCTTTC